TAATAACAGGTAGCTCACTTTGTTGTTAATTTCGCAATAATTCGCAAACAAATATTTTCACCGATTTGATCGATTATTAAATTGTATCCACGTACAAAAAAAAAAAAAAAAAAAGAAACTCTTCTTTTATTTATCACACTTTCTTTTTTTTCTTTTTTGTACCAAATGCATTTAACCTTGAGCTCTTTCTTTCTTTCATTCGTACGCGAGTATCTTAACTAGATTTTTTTCCATTATCCTCGAGATTTATGGGTGACCGTACGACGTCTAAAGTACGATGGATATTTCAAAATACAAAGCCATGACCTGCATTCCAATTTCCTCTCTCACTCTCTCTCTCTCTCTCTTTCTCTCTTATTCTCATTCTCTCACAATCCGTCCATCTCAACTCGTTTACGTCGTAGCATTCCTCTAACCGATCGACAGGAAACTTTTCACTGCACACTGCAATATCGCATGAAACGCTTTCAAGTAAGATAAACAACAAGAACAACAACAACACCAAGAAGGAACACGACGAAAGGCAGAATGTATGGTAGTGGTAAATGAAGCGACTACAAGGGGTGGCTAGCGGAACGGGGGGTGGTAGAAAAGGGTTTTTGGAAAGAAGAAAGGTAGAAATTAGAAGTAGAAAAGGAAAGACTTATTAACCCACATAGTTCATCGTCTTCGTAGTTTCTAAGTAACTCAACTACATTTGTGTGTGTGTGTATGGAATTTTCAAAAATTCACGTTATAACGTAAATGAATTGTTGGAAACGTTGTTTCCCGTTAGTAACGAATAGACGAACATAACCGCGGTTATAGAATAAATACCACAACTGGGATTTCGCTTTTCCACGTATTGCGGAAGGGTTTGGAATAGTAGTTGCACGAACGGGACGTACGTCAAAAGTAATTAAACTACAATCGTGCCTAATGGTAAGCCAGATAACCGCTAGCTCTGCGAAGCAAATGGTGCCGGTCTGTTCTCAAACGTAGAAACGGTACCAAACATATAAAACGAATGCAGAAATTCTATCTCGAATGAACAATTAATTTAACACGGTAGTTAACTTTCAACAACGTCACTCAATTTTTCGATTGGATTACAAAGAATTTATTTATTTTATATCATCACCCTCACCCCCAGACCCCCCTATCCTACCCCGAACACAATATCTCTTTGATATCAAATATAATAAATGTAAGAAGAGAGACAGTGTGAGATAGAGAGAAGAAGGAAATGGTAGGAAATCAAATATTCAAATAAATCCAATATTAAATCATTCTAATGGAATTTGGTAATTATCTGCTTCTTCTTCTTCTTCCTCTCTCTCTATCTTCTTTTATCTTTTTTTCTTTTTATCATAACATCCCCTCTATCGATCGTGGTTTAGGTAGAGGATAACCGGAGAATTTTGGGGAAAACGTAATTTATCGGTTTCCTACTTATCCTCGTGGAATTCAACGAAATTTAGTTGGGATCATACGCGGAGTAAGATAAACGTTATATAATATCCTTTGGTTGAAATATTCTACGCGAATTCTCGACCAATTTTCAAAGTATCTTATCTTATCTAGTAACAAGAATTTCTCTAGGTTGTTAGAATTATTTTTAATCGAGTAGTAGTATACTATAATGTGATAGTATAATAGTGGTTTACTTCTAGTATGTGGTAACAATTAAATCAACCTTTGCACTTGGTGATACATCCATGTCACATGGGGTTAACCTTATTACATGAAAAGGTTCGTACAATTGAAACATTCATTTTACCTAGACCCAATCTACGCATGCATACATGCATAGATGCATGCATGCATGTACCTATGTTGTTTATCTATGCTTGCTGATCCTTCTCTCTCTCTCTCTCTCTCTCTCTCTCTCTCTTTCTCTTTACTTGTAAACATCGTGCGGTTTCACAACACGTAGCAATTAAGGATTGACAAGCCACAAAGAACATTTGATATTATCCTTTACAAATTTGTAGCTTTTTTTTTTTAAAACGCATTTATACTTTTATCGGATGAAACAATATAAAATAATGATAAAGTAACGTATTGTTATTAAATATAAATTCATAATTGATTAATCGTTCATTGATATTTATCCATTCGATGATTCTCGATTCCTTCTTTCTTTTTTTTTCTTTTCGAACGATTCACGTAATAAATGGATATTACATTTTGAAATTTGTTTAATATTTCACGATGAACACTGTAAAGAACAGATACGCAGTTACGTATAGATAGTTGAAAAAAAGAAAACTATAATATGTTTGCAGGAACGCAACGTAATAATACGGAATGTACGTTTCGAGAGAAAAATAGAGAAAAAATTACGTGTAGTAAGAACTTTGTCACTCGTTCTTGTTCTTGTTGTTGTTTTAAAACGGGAAACGGAATGAAGAAAAAGTAACGAGACCGATCGATTTTGTTAAAGGAAAAAAAGATCGATAATGTTTAGAGTTAGGGGTTGGTTAGTAGTGATACTTAATGAGTTTCGGACGTGTCTCGGAGCAAAAAGGAATATTGAAATAATAAAATGATTAGAAAAAAAAGAAAAGAAAAAGAAAAAGAGAAAGAAAGAGAGATTTTTCTTGTCGAACGTCAAACTTCGAAAACTTCTAGTCCAATTAAAAACTTCGAGAAAGTTTATTTTGTCTGTCGACAAAAAATCAAAAGGAAAATAAAACTCGGCGACAATTTAAATCAGAAAAAAAAGAAAAGCAAGTACTCGTGTCTTACAATTTAATCGATAAATCTACTTTAAATGAGAAGAAAAAAGAAAAGATCAAGAAAAGGATAGAATATATCACTTCACACTTCTTCTTCTTCTTCTTCTTACGTTCTAAGTTTGCTGATTTATATGGGGTACGAACAAATCGTTGTTCTCACTTTACCTAGGCCATTTGCATTCACCATTTTATCCGTGCCCCTCTTCCTTCTCTACCCCTTTTCTCACCTAACATTTTCTACCAACCCGTTTATATGGTTTTCTAGCAAATCGTACTTTAATAGTAGCACCATCCCCCTCCCCCTTCCTCCCCCCCGTTGCGAATGACAAACGAGCTGGCGAAAAAATAACAACTCGGCAAATATTCGCGCACTCATCATCGGTATGAAATCCCACGGGGAATTAATCGGCCCTGACATTTCAACGCTCGTCCTACTCTCAATTTTTTGATCGGCCCAACAACCAACCAACACACACACACACACACACACATCACTCATTTGACTGAAATTTACGCGTGAAAAAAATACTTGTTAGAAATTTTCCAATTCGTAACTTTTAATAGGAAGAATTTTAGAAAATTGTAGTACCCATATAAAAATATGGTTAATGTTCGAAACCATAATCGATCGTAGGGATGAAGAAAAAAAAATAAAAGAAACCCCCTTAGGATATTTCCTTTTCGTTGTTGTTTATTCTACTTCTTCTTTTTCTTCTTCTTCATTCGTTAAAAGTAGTTAAAGTAAGTTACAACAAAACGCATTACGAAATATAAAAAAGTCGAACGTTTGTTTTATTCGGATAAGCTGACTGAAAGATCGATATTACCTATTTGAAATCGATAAATCTTATTGTACCTGTCGATCGATCGTTAACCCAATACGGCGTCGTTCCGTTCCTTGTTCGTTCTTTATCATTTTTCTTAAAAAGCTTGAAAGTTTCAACGTTTTATCATGACTGTCGATTATGACCAAACGTATGTTCGAACTTTGAAGAAAATTCAATATAACCAAGATACATAATAATTTATAATAGAAGTTTTATCGAAAAATCCTGCCACCCCCCATGTATTTATCATGCTTTTTTTTCAATATTAAAAATATACGTTCATACGTAGAGTTGTAATAATAATAATATATCGATTGTATGGGATAACTCGTAAAGAGGATAAATTTAAATGGATAGAAAAAAAAAAAAAACGAAATAATCAATAATATATCGAGAGAAGGAAAAAGAAGAAGAAAAAATTGAATGGGTTATTATTATGATTAAAATATTGATTAATAATAATAATAATAGCACTTAGTTAGATATAGGAATAATGTTTAATAATTATTGAAAATGCTTTTTAATAAATCATGAGTCAATTATCTCTTGTGTATACAGATAATCGAGATTGTAAGCGATATTGGTAAAAGCATTACCTGAGATCGTTAGCTCGGTGCATTCTCATGCCACGCGTTGGATGCCGTGGGGGTGGGGTGCACCTGCAGTCACAATGCATGACGCAAAGGACTACGCTAGTTGCTAGAGTTACGACCAAGGGTGCAGCAAATAGTTGAATGATCGTAGCTACTTGTTCTTCTCTGTTATAAGATGCCATCACGATGCTCCCGTTAACGCGACTGTAATAACACGGAAATTTAGCACCCTCGTAGCCCATGTCGCGAGTAAAATTCTCGCAATCAACGACAGGTGGGTAACCGCAGCCCTTGATATTAACGAGAAGTACCGCTTCTATGTCGGCCACGTTCGTTGCTCCTGTTATGGAACAAAAAAAAGAAACAAAAATATAAAATGATAGATAAATCAATATTTAGTATTCGTATAACCGCAATAATATTTCGTACAGATATTTTTCTATTATTTGCAAAAATATATTTTATTCATAATTATAGAAATTTAATTGATCTCACGTGCGCACACGCGACCAATCTTACGCGTGCGCATCGATCTTTCGAAGGATAACATTGAATGAAAAACATAAGTACTAACTTGTTGAGTTACTTGATATTAAAAAATAATTAAAGGGGTTATAATGATGGATCTTACCAGGAAGAGCAGCAGCGGTAGCCGTGGTGGTGGTGGTGGTAGTGGTAGTGGTAGTAGATCCGCTAATTTCCGTGTCATTTTTCATACTATCGTTGTTCCAAGGTGAATATGTAACATATATATGAGTACATCTGTAAACGTCGCTGGTACATCCCTCCCGGCATGAGCTCCATGTGCAATTGAAAAGACCCCAGAGTTCTTCGCGTCTGGATGTAGTACAGATGACCGGTTCGGGTGAAAAATCAGCAGCCAGGGTGCTGATAGCCGGATCAACGTAAAGGGGTACCAAAAAGAGGAGGGCGGCACCACCTGAGGTCGCGACGAAGGCCAGAGCCGAGGTCGCATAAAAATTAAGCCGCTGACGGCAGGTGCGTCGTGGCGGTCGGCGCCTAGCAGCGCCAAAACCTAACTCCAACAGTTTGCGACGACGTAATTCACCTTCCTTGGATTCACGCGGCTCAATTTTCTTCTTGTAACGTTCCTGCCGATGATGATGATGATGATGATGATGATAGTGGTGGTGATGACGGTCGCTACCACCCCCGCTTCCTCCACCCCCACCCCCGTCCCCGAGATCCCCACCTGCGCTCGAACTCCCAAGACTCTGTTGGCCGTGATAACGACGATGATGATGATGATGATGGTAATCGTTCTGACACTGGCACTGACACTGACACTGACACTGACACTGACAATGACAGTGACAGTGCCCACAACTCGCCTCCAACAGAAGATCCGAGCTGCTCCCCCGCATCACCCACCCGCGGCTCTCAAAGAGGCCCCAACCACCACCCGATCCTATTCGTCCTAATCGTTCCTTCGACCCCCCTCCTTCCCGTTGTTGTCCTCCTTACCGAGGGCAAAATAATTTCTGATACTCGCGACGACTCAATGCCGCGATTCCCTCCGGTTAAATTCTTTCTGCTAGGAATCATCGAGCGTCCTCCTCTTACCGGACCTTTCTTCTTCTTCTTCTTCTTCTTCTTCTTCTTCTTCCTCTTCTTCTTCTTCTTCCTCTTCTTCCCTTCTTTATGTTCAATCGATTTGTATGCCGATCGAAACTAACTCTTCCTTTTTCTTTTTCTTTTTCTTCACTCCACCGTTTATTATATTTTTCCCTTTAAATACTATTATTTCTAATACGAAATATTATCGATCATAATCTTTCAACGATTACTACGAGACGCTCGTATGAACGAGAGGAACTATGAAACATCGTTGAAAGTGTATCGATCTGTTGTTGGATCCTCGACTAACCCACGCGTCGTAAATTCTATTTGAAATCGTTATCACGAATACTATTCCCGATTGCATTCGCAAGCGCGCTCGATATACAACAGATTCGATATTTTTAAAGCCGCGACACGTTGGTTGGTTTGTTGGGTTGGTTGGTTTGTGTGCGTTCAACTGCGCGGGGCTTTACGAATCGAATCCGTGAATCGTTGCTAAGCCGATCGCGAGTTAGGCACCTCACTGGATTCTCCTCTTCCAATTAACGGAATGTTCATAGCTCTCGCTGAGATTCGATTTTCACGGAGCAGAAGGAATTTCTAAATTCGATGATCATTATTATTATCTTCGAAATTCCATTATAAATTTTTCCTTTTTTATTTTTCCCTCTTTAGATGATATATCGTTGTCTCTCGCAAGGATAGGCCTCAGAAGGGGAAAAAAAAGTAAACTTCCTCACGGTAACTCTCGTTGAAATCTTCATTAATGATACAAAAGAGGGTCACAGACACTCGTCGTATTTTTTTCTTTTTTTTCTTTCTTAGGCCAGAGATAAAACTCTTGAAGTCAGTTAAAAATTGGTGGTGGTGTCGTTTGCCCTTCAAATTCACGGAATATCATTCTAAATTAATTACTATTTTTTACTCTCTCTCCCTTAAAAAAATGATATATATATATCATCATCATCTAGATAGAGTAGATACTATCTCTCTCGCGAATGTCTTTTATCAACTATCCTTCCTATTTGTTTATACATGCAAATAAATAAGTAGCCATCGTAACGGACTACCAAATCCTTCTTCTTCCTCTTCTTCTTCTTCTTCCTCTTCTTTTTTTTTTTCTCTGTCTCTCCCTTTGATATTTGATTCTATCAGTAGAGAATCTCTTATTTTATTTTATTTTATTTTTTATTACTTTTTTCTCTACCACATATATATCATTTTTTTCATTTACAGATTTTCTTCCGTATATGTAATTGTAATCCTTCCTTGAAATTTTCCAAGATGTTGTCCCGCCTTTTTTTCTTATTTTCTTTTTCCGTTTTCTTAATCCGTTTTCTCGTGTGTCTTCTCAAGAATTTGTCATTGTCGTTAGAAATAGATGAACGGAGTTAGAAAAAAGATATTAGGCAGAAATAAAGAAGTCAAAGTTAGATGGATATAAGATTGAAAGTATATGTCTACGTTTGTATGTGTGTATAAGAGAAATAGAAAGAGAGAGAGAGAGAGAGAGAGTAGACAGATAGAGAGTGAATACGAGAATATTGAATCACGCGTTAGAACGACGTTATCCTACGATCGATCCTTGCACGAACCACCTGTACAGATGTATATCCTCCACGAGAGAGCTTTCTCTTCTCTCAGGCGCGCGCTTTGTCAGTACGCGTGTATACTCTCTCTTAAACGAGAGAGAAAGAGAGAGAGAGAGAGAGAGAGAGAGAGAGGGTGGAAATGACAAAGACAGAGAGAAAAAGAAAGAAAGAAAGAAAGAGATAGAAAAAATTGATAATACGAAGGGTGAGAGAGGGGTAGGTTTTAAAAGATATTAACAATAATTTTTGGTTGTCCAAAATACAAAGGGATAACAATAATCCTATCCAATTGACAAAGCCAACCAAGGGGATGAAATTGGGCTTTGGTGGGTTGTTTTTAATCAGCAAGATTATTTTACTTTGACGAAAAATAATAAGAGCCGCACTTGTGTTTTCTGATCAATGAATGCGTGTGTCCCGGCACACCATCATCCGCCTCGCGGATCGCGAGTTAAAGCGCGACTAGTCGTCAGAACGTCGTAACAAAAGTCCTCGATGGGGGAGGACAAGCTTTCGTCCGAAACGACAGGGCGGGGTTCCATACGCGCATGAGCGACTACCATACCCCACTACCCTTATCATCCTATTTCTCCTCTCTACGTATAACATAACTTCATCGCGCACACCACGGTGCATCCTCCTTGTTTATGCTCTCTCCTGCGAGTCCTTCCTTTTCCACCTCCCACTTCCCACTACTACCATCACCACCCACCCCCATCTGCCTCTTTCTACAAAACCACCCTCCACCTCTCAACCAACCAACCCCTACCTCGACTAGAGTCACTCTTTCTCTCTCTAGCTAGCTAGCTATCTATTTATCTATCTACCTATCTATCTCTGTTTCTCTGGGTTTTTTTTTTTTTATTCTACCTGTCTTCGGTATTCCCATCCCTTCTTCGTATTTCTTCCTACCCTACGAAACTTCGTCATTATCGTTCTTTAATTGCGTTCGATAATTAAACTAATTTTTGTGTTTCTCTTTTTATTTTATTTGATTATTTTATTTTCATTTATCTCGCTATAGATTTTTTTCTGCTTGTCCTCGAATGAAATTCGTTCGTCGGTGCAACAGTTTAATGAATTTCTACGATTTTTGTTGGATATATTTTCTTTCTCTTTTTTTTTTCTTTTTATATTCTTAAATAAATAGGAAAGGAGAGATAGAAAAAGGAGATAGAGTAAATGTTGGTTCGATCATGGTGGAATATATATATATTTGTACGGGAACAGTGTATAGTTCTCAATCTATTCTCCGAGGAATGCTTTTTACCATGTATATATAAAATTCTCTCGCGTATCGACGCGCCTAAAGAGTGCAACCGTTGGTACACGAGAGAGAGAGAGAGAAAAGAATCCTTTTCTGATTGTTCACACGGCCGAGTTGTGCAAGGGAATCTAAGTAAGTCGGATGGAATTCCCATGAGCTATAGGTTCTTACTCTAAAAGGATAGAATAAAATATTAGTATATCGTCGAAAACTTTCTAAATCGGTGTGTATTCCTAATAATATTATAATTACAAAAATTAATAAAATCCATAGCTTTTAATTATTAATGTTATTAAAATTATATATAATTATTATTTATAACGTTTAAAAAACCCGCTAACTATCGATCATATATTCCAAGTATCACATTGGGGTGAAAAAGTGAGAAAGAAGATGGTCGGGGTGATAAGAATAAATCAATGTCGAGTAAGAGAATGTAAAATGCAAGGTCCGAACGATGACGACACGCACGAAAGTGAGAACGTCATCGCGAGATTCCCTATGACGTCATTCGAACTAGAAGTACAAAAAAAGATCGATTGAGGTCGTTGCAGTCGCGTATAGAAATTTTTTATTTCTTTGATTGGCAATACTGAGAGACGCGATAGGTGACGCCATCGTGGCAACATCGACGTGGATGTCCAATCATGCAACGTTGCTTTTCATACTCATTGACCAATCAAATCTATCGAAAGGTTGTCCCAGAGTGCATTGCATGTTGAAATAATAACCATAGAGTGGGGGGAAAAATGGTCTAGAGGGTCTTTCACATCGTAGCTACGGTCTCTTTGGTGTCGAGCAGCCTAGTGGGTTGGGTGCCACCACTTTACGAAGACGACTGCGAGAAGAAGAATTTACTGCATTAGAAGCACGCAGACAACGAAGAAGAGAAAGGAGGAGGAAGGTTAATCTTGGAAACAACGTTCCTTCCTCTACTCGTTTTCAACGAGTATTACGTTTTAATAAAAATATGGCGGGAACTGAAACGCCTAACGTTAAACCTGATGTTTTAAATCCATCATCCGAAACTAACGAAAATAATGCAAGAGAACGGAACGTTCAAGGCGGTGGTGGAAGTAGCGGAGGAGGTGGCGGAGGAAGTGGCGGTGGCGGTGGAGGAGTAGGAGGTGGCGGAGGAGGTGGTGGAGGCGGAGGCGGCGGAGGAAATAATCGTGGACCTCGTGGTAGAAAAGGAGGCACAAGATTCTCTGGTGGACGAGTACCAGGAATGATGGGTGGAGGCAGGAACGATGGACCGGTATGAAAATCACATTTTTCTTTATTATTTTACCATATTTTTTGATATATATATATGTTCTTCTATATGTATACGTATATTTTTCATTCTATCGAAAATTGTATATTTCGATCAGAACGCATTTCGTTTAGCGGCCATTTTATATCTTTTTACTAACCACGCGGTCCTACTTTTCAATAAATCTATCTTCTTTACTTTGAAAGTCTTGATTAAAAACTTTACGCTGTTTAGTTTTCTTTATAACTATATATATATTGATTCTACTTAAAATAAAACGCATATATCGTTATATTATTTATGTATACTATTTTTGGATTTTCTAGAGTCTCGTTTTATGCATATCATTGTTCTTATTACCAACCGGTTAAAATAACGTATATTTTATTGTTTTATTACTCGTATAATATTATAAATTCTTATTAATTATATATGATATTCTTGGCGATTCTTAAAATATTAAAACTCTAATAAAAGAAATAGTAGCGTCGGGTTATCGATCTCTTTTAGACGCCATTAGCAACCGTACATAACGGCACGTCTCAAAATGGTTGCATTCCGACGCGATGCTATTATAGATGGCGTATCGTAAAAGAACACGTGTTTCAAATATATATATATATATATAGGTATATATCTTATTTAATTAAGATTAATTATTATATCTTACGCGTTAAAAGATATTTTTATTTAAATAGATAAAAATTAAAATATATAGAAAAAAAGAAATAATTATTTCTATAAATTGAATGGAAATATTTTAGATGAAAATGAGTGACTCCATGATAGATGGTGGCTTAGATAATACAATGTCTGAAGGAATGGGAAGCATGGGAGGAATAGGAGGAATAGGAGGATTGGGTGGTATGGGACCCCGTGGAGGAGTTGGTATGCGTGGTGGCGGTGGCGGTGGTGGCGGAGGAGGTGGTGGAGGAGGTGGTGGTGGAAGAGGTGGCAGAGGCGGAGGAGATAGAAATATAGGCAACCGTTCTCAAGATGTAAGTTTCTGAACTCTTAAATATACAAAAATAAAATAGAACTTTATTTGAACAAAGATTTCATAGGTATATTGTTATAGGATCGATTAATGGAACGAATAATGGCCATAAGTGGTCCTACGCATGAATTATCACCTCAAGAAACTGCCGAAAAGAAATTCAGTGGTCGTAATCGCTTGTACATTGGTAATCTTACTAATGATGTTACAGAAGAAGAAATTCAAACAATGTTTGCACAGTATGGTGAAATATCCGAGTTGTTTGTTAACAAGGAGAAGAATTTTGCATTTCTTCGAATGGTAAAAATAATTCATTCAATTTGTTATATTTTATATGTGATATATGATATTTGTTTTAATATGATTATAATAATTACCGTTTGATATAATTGTGATACAAACTTAATGGCTGCAAATTTTAAATGATTTTGTTAACTATACATATATATCAGTGATCATCTTAATTGAATATGTTCCAATCAAACTTATTTATCTGTTAGGATTATCGAGTTAATGCTGAAAAAGCAAAACATGAATTAGATGGTACAATGCGTAAAGGACGTGCTCTTAAAGTACGATTTGCACCTCATTCTTCTACGATCAAAGTCAAGAATCTTACTACATGGATTTCGAATGAATTGTTAGAAAGAGCGTTCAGTGTATTTGGAGAAATTGAACGAGCCATTGTTATTGTGGATGATAGAGGGAAGTCTACTGGTGAGGGTATTGTTGAGTATTGTAGAAAACCATCTGCTCAACTTGCTTTAAGGAAATGTACAGAGGGATGTTATTTTCTTACTGCGTAAGTTTATTTACAAAAATTCATTATATTGTCCATTGTTATAATAACCCCGACGCCACGCTTGTGATAATTATTTTTTTATCAACAAGTGCCATAAAAATTTACTAGGGGAATAGAAAAGTAGATTCCACATATATAGGAACCATGGCATACTATTATTTTAGATGCTGTGTGCCAAAAAGTGGAATACATTTATTTTATTATATTTTATTTTATTTTTTTTTTTTTTTTTCAAAGTAATATCTTTAGTAATCATCCATTCATATATTTAAATACTGTAAATTAAATTCAGATCTCTTCGACCTGTTGTCGTGGAACCTTTTGAGCAACAAGATGATATAGATGGTTATCCTGACAAGAATTTACCTCGAAAGAATCCTGAATTTTTCAAAGCACGTGAAATTGGACCAAGATTCGCGCAAATAGGTAGTTTCGAACATGAATACGGGACGAGGTGGAAACAATTACATGAATTATACAAACAAAAAGAAGAAGCGTTGAAACGAGAAATGGCAATGGAAGAAGAGAAATTGGAAGCTCAAATGGAATTTGCAAGATACGAACATGAAACCGAATTACTGAGAGAACGTACGTTCTTCGAAATTTGTAGATTATACTAATATAAAACTCGTAAATAATATATTCACGTTATAATTATTATTTATACAGAATTACGAATGCGTGAAGCTGATAGAGAAAGACAGAAGAGAGAATGGGAAATGAAAGAAAGGCAAGCGGAAGAACAAAGAACACGTGAAGAGGAATTAAGGAGACGTCAACAAGAAGAAATGGCAATCCGTATTAGAAGACAAGAAGAAGAATTGCATAGACGACAACAAGAAAATAATTTGTTCATGCAGGTGAGTAGCATTTATCATCTCCATTTTTTAATTTATTTACTTTTTCGATTGATGAATTATATCACGAACCTATGGGTGGATAAAATGATGTGCCTAAAACATACCCAATTACGATTCATTGTTCGATATAATTGTTCTTTACTATGTATAAAAATCTAATATTTAACGACACTTAGGGCTCTGCTCCTTTTATTTTTAAGGAGCAAGCGATGAGAGGCGGTGGTGCAGGAGGTGGAGGCGGTGGAGGTCTCGGTGGTGGAAAGAATTATGATTCCGTTAGTAATAGTGATCGCGACGGTTATGGCCAACCGGACGGTAAGTTTATTTTTTCATTAACTTATACTATCGAATTTCAATGATTTGAGTCTCTTTTCATTATATAAATTAAAAAATTAAACCATTCATTTTTACACATATTAACACGTTGACTGTCGTGTAGTTCATTGGTAATCTCAACACGACAAATAATAAAAATACATAAAGTAAATAACCGATACTGATAAATTTTTAAGTAATACCATTGTTTTTATATCAGGATTTGAAGAAAATAATGACAACTTGTTAATTACACACATTGTTTCTTTTAACATATTATACATCATCAAATGTTGTCATTTTTTAACGTAATAATTATAATTGGACACAGTTATTGTAAATATTCATTATTATTTACAGGAGGAAGCAGCATGCCAGTGGTAATGTATCTTTGGTCATTTATATTCTAGTTTTATAAGTTCTAATCTATATATCCTTTACACTTCTCTCTATCTTGAAACATATAGTTTCTTCTTCTTTTCTTCTGACATTTTATTTCTACTCTGACGAAAATTATTACAAATAGTTAATATATTTACATCATTACCAATTTTATAATTATTATTAATAATCATAGGTGGTTTTTTTTTTTTTATTTTTTTTTTTTCTATTTTTTTTAAATATTATTTTTTGTTATTGCATGGAAATAATGCAGTCGTTTTAATGGAAACTGCCACTGCCAATATTCCGTATATTTTTTAGTGGTATATTCCATATCCCCGTGAGCATGCTGTCTGACATAACAGAGTTCTAATGTCTGCAATACTGCCAGATATTTATAACTATATTTCTATGAATAGAATATTATTTTAATTTTATACAAATTTTATATATATTTGTCAAATGATTTTAGTATAATAATATATTTAAGGAGCATTAACATGTGGAGGAGTCAACGAGCATGTGAAACGAAAGAACATCTCGTTATTATTATTATTATTATTATTTATTGAGAGTGTCTCGAAAAAGATATACGAATTAACATTTATTTAAAAGTAAGAAATATTCTGGGGATATTAACATACAAAACAGTTTACTGCCATATGTGTATATATATCTATATCTATACTTTTAGAAATATTTAATGATACATATTAGGACAATAATTTGATGATCTATCTTTGCATTATAACATTGAACCAATATCTTCATTCTTATATCATATATAAGGTCTAATATACGATTATATATCTCTTAACTCTTTTTTTTTCTCTCTTAAGTTCATGGGATATAAATATTAAGGAATTGCAGTGTGGAAACAAAAAAAAAGCATGGCTATTTTTGAAAACTCGCGATGTATCTCTTATCTCGAATTTATCTCCACGTGCGTGTGTTAGGGTTGTCCAAGTTTTCCACAAGTCGTTAATATCAAATTTCTTCGTCGCTTTTTCCTTCGTGATGTGTCCTAATTTAGTTGGTTTAGGGGCGTGGGAAAGGGAGGAGAGGAGTATTTCTAAGTTTTTGTGTCTCCTACTGATTGTGTGGACACCACGTGTATGAATGGAACAATTCATATGTGCATTCTAATGATGCATTCTTTGGGAAATTAATATAATTTACAAAATATATATTTATAAAGGAAACCAAAGAGGTGAAAGTTGTTAAAAAAAAAAAAAATCTACGAGGATTTTACTTGGGGTACAAATCGTAATTGTGTTGAAGTACTTATTTAGGATGTGTTATATTAATAAACTACGATTTCTCTCTCTGTATTTCTACAAAAAGAAAAAAGAAAAAAAAAGAAATATTTTAATCTTCAATCGTGAGACGATTTAAAACTTTAACTTAAGACTGAAATTGAAACTTGCTTCGTTTGGTCTCTCCACATGCTTGCAGACAGGAGACTCTGTTCTTTTTTTTTTTCTCTAGTTCAGTTAAGATTTAGGTGTTTTTATCTCTACTATGGAACTTGAAGAAATACTTTTTATCGATGCAAAATATTGTTACATTGGGAATTTAACAAATTTGATATATTTGATTTTTCCTTCAATATTAAAAATGCATAATAAATATATTGACAAATGATTTAGTTCCATAGTAATTACTTGCTGACCAAGCAATGCCCAATTTTATCAGACATATTGGAAAATATTCTATATACGTTATAAATACTCACTCATTCCACTGTTGTGTCGGGTTATATGCAAGCTTTTATTTTTATAACTATCTATCATCTCTCTATCTCTCTACATATGTGTATGTATAAACATATACACATATATATATATACTCCTAAAATAATTCTTTTAAATGAACTATGAACGATAGAAATCTTTTAGAGTCTGTACAGTACGTAGAGTTTGCTTGGAGATCTTGATCAAATCTCCTTGCTTCTCATATCGTGTTCAGACTCTGCATACAAAAAATTATTAGTCTTTGGGGTAACACATATATAAATATATATATATAATATACAACACTATATATTATATAAAAAGTAATATACTCTTTAGACTTAGCACTAAATACTTTTATATAATCATTAGTGAAAATGAGATAAACATTATAATATCTAATCTATCTTAAATCCCTCATTACATAACTCTAATTATATTATACTATTTTCAGCGCGAAATGTTTAAAACAAAAAGATTGAAACGCGTCCTATATTGAGAAAATATTTCTAATGGAATGAAATTAATGTGAATTTTTGTTAATCTATAAAAATGAAATAACAAATTTAGGTTTTCTATTTTGAGTATATCTCAAAAAACTAATTCTACTTTTCTACGTGATTTCTTATAATCTAATTGAATAATATATACATCTCTTTAGTAATATGATAAAAATGCTAATCGCATTTAGAAACCTATTCTATTTTTTAACGTTCATATATTCTTCGATTAGGAAGCATCGTTTGAACAACGTGTGTTCTCTGATATAAAGACTCGAAGTTTCCTAAGGTCTTTTAAATAGATGCAAACATAATCTAATTCTAATAATCACATGCCATATCATGGCTTCTTTTAAAATACCTCTATATATGACAAATGACTAAGACGATAAGACGTGTACGCTCTTCTGGACAATAATATTATCAATCTTCGTTGTCTGCATTGGGCATTTGCTTGGTCTGATTAAGTAATCGATGTTTAAATTAAATTTACAAAAAAAAAAAATATGTATATATACATATACATATTAATAAGAGACGCTTCTTTCGGGAGTTAGTTTTTAAAAAAAAAAAAAAATTAAGAGAACATAAAAAAAAATGCGTCTAAACGAATACTTTTATAACCCATGGTGTTCGATATATAAAAAAAAAGAATATATATCTCACGTATTCAAATACTATTATTATTATTACTACTACTACTACTGCTACTACTACACATATACATATTATATATAAAAAAAAAAAAAAAACCACGCACGCAACATCTAACATTTGTTTTCCCCTTTCTTTTCTATGTGATTTGACGAAAATTGTGACGATGACCTGTACGCTGCTGTCAAACATGTGGATGGTTCGCCCTGAAAAATATGTGCACAAATCTCTATTTATGGTACATCCAAAAACAAAAAAATATTCTTCTCGTTGTCCTGTTTTATCTGAACACGTATAAAACAATATCAACAATTGTATGTGTAATCGTTAAACCGTCGGGATGATGATATTATCATAATCTCTCTCATCAAAACGTGTGGCTTTCACACTTTCGGATATGCTACCACATCATTAACAAACAAACAAACAAAAAAACAATACCAATTATGGATTGAATCGCGTAAACAATTATTATTATTATTATTCCGCGCTATGATTATTAATTGTTGTGTTTTATATTTACATATATTATTATTATCATCTTATATAACGTTTATCGCATATACACATATATATATATATACATATATAAAAATCACATTTGATGCGAATGTTAGGATCCAAAGTCGTTTATGGATGCATATAATAACATGGATCGTGGTAGTCGTGGTGGTGGTTATAACGACGATCGGGGACAAATCATGGATTTGATGGATATGAGAGTAGATATGAGTAACATGGGTGGTGGTCGTGGTGGTAGTGGTGGAGGTGGACGCTGGCAAGGAAATGATCGAAATCGTCAAGACGATTATCCTAATAAAAGGAGACGTTATTAGAAAGAAAGAAAAAAAAAACATTTCGAAGGAGGTGGAGATTATTAAAAAAAAAAAAAAGAAAAAATTTAAAAAGTAAAAAAAAAAAGAAAAGAAAGCAACAACAAAATATGGCGAAAAGAAGTATATAAGAAAATTAATACCAGTAAAAGATTAACTATTACTCACACTCTGTCATATTCTTATTCTTTTTCTCTATCTATCTATCTCTTCTATCTCTCTTTTTCGAAACATACTTAATGCAGATCATCCCCCCCTTCATCATTTTTGTTTTGTACGACTTGCTTAATATTCTACTTTCAATGATTCTTCTATTTCCATCTTTCTATTTCTTCTCTATCTCTATATCTATATCTGTATCTTTTTTTATAATGATTAGAATATTCACATACACACACGTACACGTACACATATATTATATATATATAATAATCCGACGATTGAACAAACGATCTTTATTATTAATCTATCATCTTTTCGTTATACTATCTATCGGAATCTAAAGAAACGCGTTAAAACCTCCCTTACGTCTGGTATAAAAATAAAGTTGGAAATGAAGGAGAAGATAAAGGAAGATATTAGAAAACAAAACGTTATATAATAAAAATTATAAATTAAGGGAAAAGTTTAATGACGAAATTAAAATTACGCGAAAAAAATAAATATATATATACTCCCTGTCTGTCACCCCCGGTGTGTTTCGCGTTTGAAATAATTTTGTTTGAAATAGTAAAAAGGGAAGAATTTTTAAACTCTATAAAATATTAATAATTACAATTTTTTCTATGTTAGAAGAAAAGGTATTCGAAAAGTTATTATACATACACACACACAACATACATTTTCATACATTCATACATGCTACGTATATAATGTATACTGCATTTCTTTCCTTTTGTTTCGAGAAAGACGTATTTTTATTCGTCCATTGAAGCAATATTCGTATAAAAAAAGGAAAAATAATATAACAGATAAAAATGATTCATATAGAAAAGTTGTACCGTTTTATCAATTTGTTTCGGTTGGACACCTTTTTATATACTTTAAAATAATCATGTGAGAAAGAGCTAATTGAAATAGATATACACTTATTATATATATATGTATGTATGTATGTATATATAACATATATACATATATATATATATATATTTGTCATTAACCAAAAACCATTATTCTATCGGCAGGAAGTGAATGTCAGTTTTTATTTGAAAAAAACCATTTATGAAATGAATTAATATACCTTATATTAGAGTAAGATATATTGTACGCTGTGAGAGTGGCGGATTTATTTCGTCGAAATTACTTTAAATATTAGACGTTTTTGTGAAAGAAAAGAAAATAATAATAATAATATTAATAATAATAATAATAATGAAACAAATGAGAAATCATCTCTCTAAGACCATAATTTTATGAATAAAGTTTTACGAATATAAATATATATATACAGCAAAATCTCTCTTCATGTGATTTCTGCAATTAAAGTCGCACAAGAGAACGGGTCCTTATAATATGACGTTTAGATAATGAACTTTTCTTTATTATATTTTTTTATTTTATTTTTACTAATTAGAAAGTTGATGATCAATGGCCCATCATTATCTTAATTCAACAATTTTTCAATTAAGGGAACATCATGGAATTGAAAATTTTATTATATGATCCCCCGTGATGTTCTGCATTCATTTCTGTATCTTCAATTATTATTTATATTTTCTTTTTTTGTTATTTTTTTTTTTTTTTTTGGTTTGTTTATCTCTTGTAGAAAATCAGGGAGAATCGAACTATTCTCATGAATGAAACAATGATTATTCTTGACAATTATTAATATGATAGATATGATTACTTGTGTATGAAAAAGAAAAAAAAAAGATTTCTTTTCGTTTGGTTTCTTTTTTTTTTTATCCCCCTGCCGTCGCGTATTTTTTGTGACCCATCGCCCTGAAAACAAATTCGAACATATTCTCAATTATACGTGGAAAATAAATTTAAGTGGTAGTTCTTATTTTTTTTTTTTTTTTTTAAATTTTTATATTAATGAAATATGTTCTTAACAAATGACTCCGGTTCGTCTTCCATGTATAACTTTTATTAACGAGATTCTTTGGTGAATCCATATCTAATCAATTTTTTCTTGCAAGACTATAACTTAATATTTCCAGGAAGTTTTTATACATTATCCAAACCACGACGACATATTCACATATTATATACAAGACATATTTCTTTACAATTTCTATATTTTCTTTATATTATATCTCCTTTTTTTTTAGTAAATTATGATACGTAAAAATATATTTATATATATATATAAAAGAGTTTAAAACATATATATCATTTCTTTACTTCTTGATTTCTATATGATTTATTACTATTTTATTTATCTTCTTTCTTTTGAAACCATAGTATTGAATTTTATTTTTATTTTTATTTTGTTTTATACTGTCCTTTTTAGTTTTTTTGTTATATTCCATAATAAAAAGTATCAACGAGAGAGAGTAAAACGTAATCTTGTTAAATGTATAATACAATAAATTCCTGCATAACGTGTGTTGATACAACGCGGACATATGAAAAGATTAAGATTACTCTGTATAATTAATTAAGAATATTATTAATACTTGATTAATTATACATTTAAGTAATTAATACAAATTAATCTATTGTAATGTTTTAAAGATGAATATTAGGATAGTCATTAAACATAGTATCATTATTATTCGTTTTATACGAGTATTGTTCTCGTATAAAATGAATTTCATAAAACGCATAATAAAATATATTGACCACGTTATACGGGAGTATACTGTATATATTATAATTTACATAGCATAGAAATTACTTAGTTATTTATTATTCAGTAACTCCTGTAAATATACGTAAATTAAACTTTGTGTGCGATAAAAAGAAAAGAAAAGAAAAGAAAAGAAAATAGAAAAGAAGAAATACGCGATAAAATAGAACACTTGTTCGAAACAAACGCTATGTGTAAATAATAAAGTTCTAAATAAAAATATCTACGAAAATTATCGGAGAAAAATCAAAAGATACAAATCAAAAGAGAACAATTTTTGTTGTTTAACGATAAAAGAGAGAGAAAGATAAAAGACATTAAGGAAAATAATATGTCCAATTAATTATTCAACGTTTCATTGTATAATTTTTAATTAATTATCAAATTACGAATAACAACAATCAACTTCTTTAATTTTTTTTTTTTTTATTCGTGAGATATTACCTTTCACGAAAAACAAACAAAAAATAAATAAATAAAACGAGACCGACTACTTTGTTTCTCGAAGAGAAAGAGTTGTTACACCTGCATTCAGATGCCTGCGAGATTACAGTTACAACAATTCTACATATGCAATTTGTAACACTGAACGATATTAATGAAGAGTCTTTAAAATGGAGAAGAGAGACAGCACTCACAAGATAGGCTTACTTACTTGAAACTGCTAGTCACAATGTGAAACTACTGTCACGAGGTGAGTAGATTTTGATAACAAATGTTATTAAGCATAATTTTTATTTTAACATTTCGGGTGGGACGTTTTTTGAAGAAGAAGAAAAAAAGAAAAGAAAAGAGAAAAAAAAAAACAGAAAATTTGTGGCAAAAGAAACTTAGACAATAAATAGGAAAATATTCTTATTAAAAAATTATTTTATAAATAATTCTTCTTACCCCTTTTCAACGTGTCTTTTTTTTTTTAACAGGAAATGTTCGTATTTTTCATTTGATTTGATTATAAATCTTTGTGGTATATACATATATACATAATATTATGCATATATATATATTGTTAATAATCCTCATAATTATCCATTGCGATTGAGAGAAAAATTAGAAAAAGAAACACACGACTATTATTATAAATATTGAATAAAACATTTCTACTGAAATTATATGATATACATTTTAAACTCCTGGATTAAGAAAATGATTTATAAAATAGAGCGAATATTTGAATCCGATTCTGATTTTCATCAGCCTGGACCTTGTTTCTTTCTACTCAAGACAACCGAACTGTATTTACTTATATACTTTAGCAATGGTTGTCTGGGTTTATAATTGTGATCTGGGCTGTGTGCAACTGTGATATACGATATTTGACGAATAATCGATTAAACCAACATCGTTGTCTAATTATTTCTCTTCTTATGGGGGTGTGTATTATCGAAATTATGATTAAAGATGATAATCCTTTTATACATGAAAAAAAAAGTTTCTCTCTCTCCATATATATATATATATATTA